GATTAAATAGCGAGGAGAAACTGTCTCCCCCGTACCCACCGGGGGCGCCGTTTCCCTCCAAAGTCCCTCCAAAATAGCGATTAACACCCTGTTCAAAACGTCTGTTGCCGAAATGAGCTTACAACGCGTTCTCGGTCGAGGAAAGGAGCGCTCGTTCGTTATAAAAACGCGAACGCGAGTGCAAATTGAGTCGCGATGCTCTTATGAAGTTAGGAGACATAAAAAACGAAGCATGTGCGTTCATGTCTTCTTAAGGAACAAAATGACGAGAATTCCGATGGTATGTTTCTTACAAAACTGCACGTAACGCGAAAGTCTGCTCGACGCGCGAGTGTACGTCGCTGGAACAAATCGGAAGTGTGCTTCTCCAAAAAAATAGAAAGAAACAGAAAAAACGTGCGCTTTTTTGCATACGAGACAATATACTGTGGCGAAAATGAAAAACAGAGATTTGCATTACACCTCGTTACCGCGTGACGAGCTGCCTTTGAATTCCGCGATACAATTACATTTGGAGATGCACAGGTGGCTCCATATTTTTTTCCCTCACTCCCTCTTTTCCTCCCTCGACGGGGACACGCGCGCTTCGCTAATGGACCTCGCACGCGGCAACCGCATTCGATGCGTCTGGTCGCATTGTTTCTTTTATGACACTCATTATTGCCGTGTATGCGTGAGCCGCGCTATATCATGTACTTAATAACGTCGAGGGAAGTTCATTATACAAAACAGCGGCGGCAATGAAAAAACAGCCTGCCACTTTATACAGTTTGTTACATTTAGAAACTTGCTATTGCGACAAATGTATTTCTCTCGTTTCCGAATATATACTTATTTTATGTTGTTTATTTACGTTCGTGTACATGTTTTATTATAGCGTATTGCACATAGATGTTTTAGATTCATTGCGCCTAAATTTAGATTACTTGCAATCACTACGATCATCAAAAAGCACATATTTATATACTTTTAAAACGACGCCCTTTAAGCTTGAGATTTATTTGTCGTGTTTGCTTCTTCGCGAGCGGTTTCGATATTTCTGAAAACCGCTATTCATCGTCGTTCAATTCGTCGTTCTGTTGAATTCCACGATAAATTAAATCTCGATATTCAGCGAGATCGCGCGACCGTTCGATTCGATCGCAGTGTCGACCAAATAAAAACATCATTATCACGGAGCGCCGACAAAGGCGGAGCAAAATCTTTTACAGCGAGTTCCATTATCCGGCGGCGGGCGCGAGCGTTTTCACGCTCGAAAATGGAATCGTTAAGCGGGACGCCTTCTCGTATCCTTTTGTCCAGAAACTCGTCCTCGTTTCGGGGATACGTGGACGGCGGGATTTCCGTGTATATCGCACGACAGCGCAGCGTTTCCCTCGCAGCTAGCCGACAGGACGGAAAATTCGCCGGTTTCGATTCCGCGGTAACGACGATCTCGATTACTCCCGCTGGACGCAAAGGCGACGGTGCCTCGTGCCTCCTCTATCGACATTGTCGTCTCCCCCTCCCTATCTTATTCGAAGTTGCAGAAGGAGAGGATGCATAATTCGGTAGCCGATATTAGGTCTCATTGTTACCGGATTCGGTACGCGCGCGAGCACTTGCAGATACGCTAGCCGATGGAGCGTGTTGATAGAGTAAGGAATATCCTGTGCGAGAGAACAGCTGAATCGTGCGGCAGGAAGGAAGGAAGGAAGGAAGGAAGGTAGGAAGGAAGGAGGAAGGAAGGAGGGAGAGAGGGAAGGAGAGTCGTTCTTCGAGAGGTGGAAATGACATTTGTATGCATTGCGACTCGTATTACAGTACAGCCAACTCGATCCAACACGTCTTTTTCTCTCTCCTCATCTCTATCTCTCTCTATCTCTCTCTATCTATCTCCCTGTGCCTCGAGTCCTCATCTCCAACGAGTTACTCCATGATTACTGTTTTCCTATGCCACGGCGCGCCTCCTCGGTTGCTCCTACGGGGAAACCGCGCTGCGTCGTCGCGACGACGTCACGCCACGTCCCCATTCACGTTCGCGTGTAGGATGACAAACACCTGGAGCTGACCCCACAATGCGATTGGGAATCAAATCGAACTTGGCGAGAATCGCGCGGATGATGTGCAACTTCATTGTCAGAGAGATAGTCTCCTACCCTTAATTAAGATACCCTTAAATAGATACTCTAGATATCCTGGATTAAGATAGGCTTTTGCCCCGCTTGTATCGAAGACAGAAATATCAAAATCAGCTGGAGCAAGTTACAAACTGCATATGTAAATTTGTCTAGCAAGAATATATTCGGTGTTTCAGAACTCGTAAGCTCGTGCAAGCATCGCGGCGCAGGTTATACGCATGTCGAGGGAAGTCGATAATATCTGGATTCGGCACTCTATCGTATATCTATAAAACGGCATTGAAGTATCGGTTCCTAGCATATCGCATCTAATACATCACTCGCTTCTTTCCTCCTTGCGCCGTTACTCCGTACTCTCGTCGGCATTGCAAAAGGTCCGCGAAAGCGCCAAGAGGGACGCGCGCGCCGAGTATTTGATCCTTGAACTCCTCTCTCGAGCACGCAAGAAGGAAACTGTCGGGATGAAGTGTTCGGTATTCTGTGAGCTTACGCGCGCGTTCCCCCGAAGCACTGGGCGAGTTCTTGATCTAGAATTTCTACGGAAACCGGTGCACAGTATAGACGCGAATATAATCCTCGGATAAAGAGTAATAATATTTCCCGCGAATTACGCGGTTTGTGAAAAATTTTTGTTATAAGAAGAGAAAAATTATCTCTGCAAGAGAAATCAAACTTAATTAACACATTCACCGTAAAAAAGCTGATTTTCCGTTCATATAAGATTAGATAGATGATCTTAACTTAAAAAAAAAAAAATTATACGAAAATTAAGTATACTTATTAGCTTTACAAAAATTAAATATCTCGTTCAATTCAGATAAGGAGTAAAATTGAAACTGAAATAGGTTCGCACAGAACAGACAAATAACTGACTTGCTTCGGCTAGTTACGAGGAGTTCGCGAGAGAACGATGCGTAACGCTGCGAATCAATTAATTTTTGCTGAAAAGAACGAAAAGAGAGAAGGGGCTCGCGATTCGCCCGCGAAAAAACTTCGGTAATGCATCGCGCTGTCGGTCGCATTACAAGCGCGAACTCGTTACAGGAACACCATCTATCACGCGGTCCGACTGCGGAAGATTTATCTCGGGCGATTATCCGAGGATAAATCTTCGTTGCCTCATTTTCGCGGCGCCCCTGAAGTTAGCGGTAGACGTCCCGAGGTCAGGCGCCGGCGCTCATTTTCATTCTTTTCGGTTGCCGCGTATGCGAGATGCAGCCGTTTAAAAAAGATGATTCCGCAGCGCGGAATTGATGGGCCGACGCGTGCCGAGTCATCGACGATCGTTTAAGAGAGTCACTGGCCGCGGGGATAAGAGATCGAAAAGCACAAGCACTCCTCCAGGACATCAAAGTCCTAAGACCGCCAGAGAAGCGATTTGCTTCGAATTCTCCGTCCGTTTGGCTCGCGATTGAGCGCGAGGTCACGTACGGCGTGCAAACGCAACGCCGCGAGCTCACGCAATCGTCGCGCGAGGTGCGCGGCGTACGTGAAAAGACTGTAAGTTCGTTAGTAATCGATGTCTTTGGATGGCGAGAAATTAACTGCTGAAATCTTCCAGGACATTAACCACATTCACACGAAATGACGCTTACTCATTGAAATAATAATTATTTCAAAGAATGTTAACCGCGCGATTATAGGGATAGCGTATTTAATATCGTATTCAATCTCGCGCCAGGTTTGGCTGGAGCAGAACTAACACACAGAAACTGAGCCTATTCCGTCCGAGGTAAATTTTAATTAAACGTTAATATGATTCGAAAGTCAGAAAAACCAAATTGTTTCTATCGCGATTATTGTTAATGTGATTAAAAAAAGAGATACTGAGCGATATATTGTTCTTTCAAATTGTGATAAAAACTATTTTTTTACCGTCGAGTTGAGCTCAATGATTATTAATGCCATACATTATGTAACAAGAGATAAACAAAAAATCATTTAATGTGTGAAGTTACAAGGTTTTCACATCTATTTTCGTTATTGAAATTATTTAAAAATTGCCATTAAAATTCAATTTTCCTTGTTACCGTTTAGACTCGCTGCCGTTTATTGCAGCCACAACCGATATAAAAAATTCGTGGCATGTCCGCCCATGACGTGACGCCGCCGCGCCGGTGAGGATGTCGTGCCTAAGCGCTCGTGCTTTTAACGATGCCACTCGCAGCGGATCGAACGGCGATACTCTTGCGAGACGGGACAAGCGGTGTCTGCAATTCGCCCGGATAACGCTCGTCATTATAAAAAGGCTCCCCCTCCCATTACCGCTGTCTACGAGCACCGCACCGAGATGTAATCTGCTTTATATAATAGGATAAGACTTTTATTGACACATAATTTGCGACGTACCGAACGATCTAACCAGACTGGAATAAACGTTAATACGGTTTCGCAATCGCATTAAGTCTGGATCGCGGACCTCTTTACATTCATAAAAACTTCAGTAATAACGTAACACGAATCTCGCACTAATTCCAATTTAATCTCGGTGTTTTCCGAAGGATTCGATCTCCTAATAATACTCACGGCCATCGATCGGTTTTGACGTGCCGAAAATTTGACAAACAATGAGATCGCGTTATTCGCCTTGTACTAAGCGACGAGAAATACGCTGGACTCGCCGAGCGAGAAAGAAGGGAACAAGGGCCCTACATTGGCGCCGCGAGAGGCTTTGTGCGAAACCGCGCGCGCGTTACTGTGCTGTGACGAGATGACTCGTCACTGTCAATGTAAATCAAGCGCCCCGTGTCTCGTTTTTAGTTTCGCTTCCGCACTTTGCTCGCGCGCACGCGTGGGCGTGTTCCGCGTCTCCACCCCCGGTTTCCTTTCTTCTTTTTTATACAAATTCAACCTTATTGATTTCTACATAAAAAAAAACAGCTCATTCTCTCGTCCCGCTCGTTCGCTCGCTCGCTCGCGCGCCGCTCGTGCACTCGCGGAGCCCCGTTGCTGCATCTCCATGGAAACCGCAAATTAAACGCGCGGCGTAGAGTAACGACAGGTGAATCGGTCCAAAGGGTGAACCGGATTTTAAATTAAAAGCTCGCATGTGCTGGCTAACTTTCGCCGGCTTTAACCTAACTTACTGTGCTTGCCGAAGGCTAACTTTCCCACGCTGTCGTGGCGCGTGTTTGGAGTCCGATTCACCCTTGATTATTATACAATTGAGAAAATTAGAGAGAAAAACGTTACTAGTGCAACGTACTAAATCCGCGTGCGTTAAATTTCACTTCATATTGCGTTACCATACACGGAGAGAATTTTCTCTTAAAATTTACCCTGAAATCATGGTAGTGTACAACATGGTAGTGGACAACATGTACCACCAAGAATTTTATGTGAGCTATTCTGATTAATATCCACCATAATAAGAAATATTAATATCTATTTCATTAAAATATAAAATATATTTGATTAATCTTA